ACACAAGTTTATAAAATCATGAGGGGCCTGGGTAGGGTGAATAGCCAAGATCTTTTTCCCAGGGTAAGGGAGTCCAAAATTAGAGGGTATAGGTTTGAGGTGAAATGTGAAAGATTTAAAAGGGAGCTAAGAAGCAACTTTTTCACGCTGAGGGTGATGTGTATATGGAATGAGCTGCCAGAGGAAGTGGTGGAGGCTGGTACAATTACAACATTTAAAAGGCATCTGGATAGATATGAATAGGAAGGGTTTAGAGGGATATGGGCCAAATGCTGGCAAATGGGACTTGATTAATTTAGGATATCTGTTCGGCATGGAAGACTTGGTCTGAAGGTTCTGTTTCCGTGCTGTACAACTCTATGACTCTATGATTTATTAAACTCCCATTAAAATATATCTAGACAATAGGAGAAGTACAGCAATATTGATTAGCATGGATAGTTCATCACTATCGTACTATTAAGCAGAATTTCTCAATGACATTCAAAAGATAACCACCCCAACCATTTATAAAGGAATAAATACACAATTCTCAAAAGATGGAAAGGTTTGCAATTCAAAGCTTTAAACAACTGATTTTAAGTTACCTAATGCTAATATATCCTTAAATTACTGTTTCAAAAGTACATAAATTCAAACAATTTTTGTTTTATTACATTACTTCATCTTTTTTTTTCTGTTCATTCCTTGTTGTGTTCTCTAATTTCCTTCTGCTGTTTCTATTGTCTAGTTATCTTTTTGCCTTTCTGTATTTAAGTTCTTCCTTCTGCCAATTTTTCTCTTGATTCAAAAACCAGGCTTTTATCTGCTGGGAGGAGGAGTTATATTTGTATGTTATGAGAGAAGTTCCTCAGACATTGTTCTCAGGAAGTTAGGATGTACTGATTATCATACTGGTACATTCATGTAGCTCATTTCTAAATGCTTTGTTCATGCTGCATTTTTGTTTCCTTTCTTGCTGTTTGCCGCTTTGCTATTGTAATCTTTCCTGCTGACACCTCACATTCATTCCCCTTATTCTGTACCTCACATTGTCTCTCATTATCTTGTACTAAAGTACCTCAATATTCTCTCCTTGTATCCTGCACCTCACATTCCTTCTGTTATTCTGTACCTTGTCTTCTCTCTCATTATCCTGTACTTCACATTTCCCATTATACTGTACCTCTTATTCTCTTTCATTCTTTCTACCTCACATTTTCTCTCTCATTATCCCATGTCTCACATCTTCTCATTGTCATGCGCCCTGTATTCTTTTCCCTCGCACCTCGCATCACATTTTCTCAACCTTACATTGTATCTCACATTCTCTCTCATTATCCTACACCTCATGTTATCTTCTAATATCCAGGGCCTCACATGCTTTCAGGTGAAGCCTCACCTGGAGTACTATGTACAGTTTTGGCTCCTGATCTAATAAAGGCTATGCTTGTCTTATAACGATTGCAATGGAGATTCATCAGATTAGTCTCTGGGGCATTAAGATTGTCTTATGAGGAGAAATTGAGGAAACTGTGTCTGTATTCCTGAGGGATTTGAAGAATAAGGGATGACCTTAATGAATCTTACTAAATTCTTACAGGGCATGACAGGATGGTTGTAGATAAGAAGTTTTCCATGGCTGTTGAATGCAAAACCAGGATAAAAGATAAGGATTTAATACTTAGATGATGAGGAATATGAATTAAAAGGGTGGTGAATCTTTGAAATTCTGTATCCCAAGGCTCTGGAACCAAATCATTGAGCATGTTCAAAACAAGAATCGATAGATTACGAATGGCATCAAGGTATATAGGAGGTAATGCTGCATTCCTGCATGAAAGTAGATGATCAGCCGTGAGTGGCAGAGTAAGATTGAAGGGCTGAATGGCCTATTGCTATTCCTATGCATTGGACATATGCTGTGAAGCCCAGTGTCACAGCCAAGATTCATTGAAAGTTTTGCTTAATTTTCGGGGGGTACTTATTATGAGGTCCAACAATGTAAGGGAGGTTTGGGGTTTGCAAGTGGAGCTTGGCAGAGTGGGGAACTAAAGGGGTCAGATGTAGTATGGGCAGCATCATTTTCCACCCCAATCACTGCTGGCCAATTCCCCCTTTCCTTTCCCCTTGAATTGGCTTTGTTCCTGGCCTGAGACTGTCGATCTATTCTCTCACCTAGCACCTTAGCCTTTCATACTCTGCCTCAGGTCTTGGCAGGTCTTCCCCTAATTTGTACCTTGTTCACAATCCCCTGCCCTGCACCTCTCATTCTCTTCTGATCTACTCCTTTTGTCTGTCTTCATCTTATTTGAGTTGTGAGGAGTAAAGGATTGTTATCTTTTCAGATTGCATATTATAAATAAAGATAATACATGGGGTTCATGTGAGCTGTTCTGCAATTAGCTTGACTGTAAGACTGTGTGGTTTGATTGCTAGTGATCAAAGGAAAGCTGAGATTGTTTTCCTGAGAAGAATGTGCAAGGTATTTAGAATTGGAATCAATGAGGTAAATCTCTGAATTTACAATAGATAGTCTCGCGAGTCTCTCAAATGGCCAGAAAAATTTCGGGTTGGAAACAGTTGTGCTATAAACTGTCTAAGTACTTCTAAGATGAAAGGGATTTGGGATCTAGATAACTAATTAGCATTTCCACCTAAATACAAGGCTAATGTGTTTCACATTGCCAGAGGAAAGAGAGAAGTGGAAGCTATTTTTGAAACCAGGTTACAGGCTTCCTAAAAGTCCATAAATATCTCAGACAGAAAGCAGTTCTAAGCAGCCAGCAGAGACAAGAGGGTGCTTGACTTTGCAGTCTATCATAATTGAATTAGGAGGGTGAGATCGTTTCTCATTGAAGAGATGTATCCTGCACTTATCTAAAGATTCTGGGAGATTTGTCCTGGCACAGCCATGGTACAAGAATCTTTGAAAAAGGCTTCACTAATGTGGTAGATTTAAGAAACCCTCCGAAAATTGAGGGAAGTTCTCAGAGATGGTCACTTGAAGTTACAACTCGGCAAATTGGGGTTAAAGGAAGCTGTTGGAGCTGAGAACAGCTGCAGAGTGTTTGCTATGAGGGACTATCAATCTGTACAATTGACGTGTATTGTATGTAAAAAGGGAACAGTTCTCTCTCTAGCTCGAGATAGAAGTTGCAGCTAGACATGTAACCCCTTTTATGGATGTGATGTGTAATTAATTAGGAAAAAGTCAGTTTTCCACTTCTCATACCAGCTTTATTGAACTCCAGTTTCCTAATGGTTAAAAGGACACCATAAAATTGTTCATTTCTATTTCCTCTTAAAATTTGCAAATTTTCAGCAGGATACCAACTCCTGAAAAGCTTTCTCATTAATAGAATTGCAAAACAGTTATAATTCCGAAATAAGCCATTTGAACCCAAGCCAGGTTTCTGCTAAAGCAACTTAGCTAGTCCCAGTGCCCATCCCATTTCCTCAAGCTTTCCAATTTTTTCTCTTCAAGTGCTTACTTAATTACCTTTTAAAAGCCATGATTAAATCTGTTTCCGCACTTACAGATCGTAACCACTTGCTGCATTAAAAAGGATCTGTTCTCAAGTTAGCTTTGCTACTTCTGCTCATCACCCTAAATCTGTGTATTCTAGTTCTTGACCCTCCCAGGAATGGGAACAGTTTCTCTCTAGTTGCTCTTGCATAGACCTCTCTTGATTTTGAACAATTCTATTAAACATCTTAACCTTATCTGTTCTAAAAACAACATTTCAAATTTAACCAATGTATGAATTTACTGGAATCATTTCCAAAATTGTTCTTGTAAATCTTTTTTGTAGTCTCTCGAAAGTCTTTGTGACCTTTCTAAAGTGGGATGGCCAAAATTGTACACAACACATAACCAGTGTTTCATAAACTTTCTTTGCTTTTGTAATCCAAGCATCTGTTTCTAGTGTCTTGTATCAAGTTTGCTCTTTTAACCTCTTCCTCAAACCTATCTGACACCTTCAACATTTCCTGCATATTTGCATCAAGCCTATGATATTGAAGGATGCTGATTTGGCACTTTATGTTGGAATCATTAAACTCCTTGGGTCTGTTAGCTCAACTGACCTCACTTGTATACATTAGTTAATGGATCACAAGATCTGTCATCTTGCATGTACGGCGTGGACATGCCAGCTATTCACAGTGAACCAGGTGGGTGGAAATGTGGCATGTGAATATCTGCAGATGTCTAGTTCATAAAATTTCCTGACAAGGTGGTAGCCTTTAAGGGGCAGATTTACATATGATTCCTTGTGCATGTTCTGCTAAGTCGTTTGCGCCTCATTGCTTATCAGTCCTGAAATTCAATTATTTTGGGTATTCTCTTGCTTGTGCCCATATTAAGTAGTTACTTGGCATTATACTTTGCTACTGAATGCGTCCAATTTAAGTTAGGCTGTAGCAAAGATATGTCAAATGCAAAATTTATGCCTAAAGTTTTGTGTTTAATTTGCGTCAAAATCATTTCATAAACATGCCCTTGCTCCCGATACTGCTTCTCTTGAAAAGAAGTGTCATTATTGATATGGTAGTTCCTAAGTCTCAGTCTGATGGGTGTCAGCTCATTCAAATTTTTTTGTTGTTAAACTCATTACAAACTGTTATCTGCCCATATGATTCTTGAAAGCACTTTCAATATAATTACCTAGTTATAAGGCAAGAGGAAGCATTGTCACTCATTCTGTTTGTATTGTGGCCACACCACTAGGCTGCAATGTACAAGGTTTAAAGTGTTTTAAGCTAAAAGTGCGTAACAAAAGTAGAGAACTGACACCAATTTGTCCTAGCTGACTGGAGTATTCAATCTGACTATTTTGGGTACTCTTTTATTATAGATTTATTTGTGAATCCTTTGAAAGATAGATCATATTATCATCTTGTAATCTAAAAATTGCTATTCTCATTTATTCATACTTTAATCTTATCTGCTTTCATATTTCAGAATTTAAATCCCTGCAATAAATCATTGCACCTGTTCTGTTCTTATCTACGCACAGGAGGCTCCTGATAGGTTGAAACAAAGTGACTTTGAGCGGGTACTGAGAGAGTCTCAGAAGGAAGTGCTGCGGCTACAGAGACAGTTAGCTGTGGTGTCTCTGCGAGAACCTTCCCACCAGCATAACCTTGGGCCTGTGAGTAAAATATTTGTACAGCATAGCCTTATTTCAATAAATCCCCCATGTGAAAAAATATTATCAATTGCTCCCTGTTTCCACAGCTACAGGTTGGTCTCCTTAGATCTGTGATTATACCGGGAAATCATGTAGCTCATCCCAGGGGAGTGAATTCACCTGTTCTTGGCTGAGTCCTATTTTGTTATCTGACCTGGGAAATTCAATACTCAAATTCTACTCCACTTGCTTCTCCTGCTTATTTTTTAACCTGAACGCAGTTAGTGACATGAGACATGGGATATGGGTCTTATACAGTCAGGATAGACTGAAACAGGAACAAGTAAGTGCACAGAGAGCTTCAGACTCCTTCAGTCCAAAGACAGATGGTTAGCAAAGTAGGGCGCATCAGAATCCAATGTGAAGTGGAGAGATTTTGTTTGTGGGATTAAGAAGTTGACAACAGAAATAGAAGCAGAAAGTGCTGGAGAAGTTCAACAGGTCTGGCAGCATCTGTGGAGAGAAAATCAGAATTAACATTTCTGGAGAAGGGTCATTAAACCGAAATGATCACTGTAATTCTTTCACCACAGATGCTACTAGACCAACACTTCCTGTTTTTGTCACAGACCTCCAGCATTTGTGGTATCTTTTTTCTATGTGGATGACTGAAACTGGACAGTTCAATCCATATACAGTAAGGCTTTCCCAGGAACATAGAATCATACAGTATAGAGGAGGCCCTTTGGCCCATCGATTCTACACTGGTGAAAACTACTCTAAACCTACACTAGTCCCAGTTTCCAGGACTTGGCCCATAGCCTTGAAAGTTATGATATTTAAAATGCTCATCCAAGTACTTTTTAAAGATTGTGGGGTTTCCTGCCTTGACTAGTCTTCCAGACAGTACATTCCAGATCCCCACCACCCTCTAGGTGAAAAATGTGTTCCTCAAATCCCCTTAAAACCTCTTGCCTTTCACTTTAAAATTATGATACTTGTTATTGACCCTTCAACTAAGGGGAAGAGTTGTTTTCCATCCACACTGTCCATATCCCTCATAATCTTATATACTTCAATCTGAACCATTCTCAGCTTTCTGTGCTTTAAAGAAAACAATTTAAGCTTATCCAGTCTCTCTTCATAGCTAAACCATTCCATCTCAGACAACATCCTGATGAATCTCCTCTGCATCCCCCTACTGATGCAACCATATCCTTCAAAAAGTGCAGTGACCAGAACTGCACACAGTACTTGAGCTTTGGCCTAACTAAGTCCTGTACAGTTCCACCTAACCTCTGTGCTCTTATAATGTGTGCCATGACTGATAAAGGCAAGTGTCTCATTTGCCTATTTAACTGTCCTATTAATCTGCCCTGTCACCTCTGGGATCTATGGACAAGGACTCCAAGATCCCTCTGTTCTGCTGAGCTTCCTAATGTCCCATCATTCATGGAGTACTCCCTTGTCTTGTTACTTCTTCCAAAAAGCATCAGCTCACATTTATCAGGATTAAGTTCCATCTGCCACTGATCTGCCCATCTGATCAATCTGTCCATGTCCTCCTGAATTCTAATATCTTCATCTTGCTGTCAACCACCCGGCCAATCTTTGTGTTGTCCTGAAACTTACTTATCATGACCCCCACATTCTCATCTACATCGTTTATGTTTATCACAAACAATAAGGGACCCAGTGCTGATCTCTGTGGTGTGCCACTGGACACTGGCCTCCACTCATAACAACAGCCTTCTACCACCACCCTCTAATTCCTATCATTAAGCTAATTTTTGATTCAATTTGCCAAGTTACCCTGTATCCCATGAACTTTAACCTTCTTTATCAGTCTTTCAAGTGGGACCTTGTCAAAAACCTTGCTGTAACCCATAAAAACTACATCAAATATATTTCCCTCATCTACACACTTCGTCACTGCCTCAAAAAATTCACTCACCTTTGTTAGGCATGATTCCCCTCTGACAAAGTCATGTTGACTATCCTTGATCAAACTTTGCCTCTCCAAGTGCTGAATAATTTTTTCCTTTAGAATTTTCCTCAGTTCTTTCCCTACCACTGATCTGAGACTCATTGGTCTGTAATTCTTTAGTTTATCTCTAACACCATTCTTGAAAAGTGGAACCACATTATTTGTCCTCCAGTCCTCTGGCACTTTCCCTGTGGCCAGAGATGAATTAAAGAAAAGAAAAACTTGCACTAACGTAGCACTTTTCATGACTACTGGATATCTCAAAGTACCTTACAGCTGAATAAATACATCTTGAAGTGTATTCAATGTTATAATATTGGAAATATGGCAACATATTTGCAAATAGCAAATTTCTACAAATAGCAATGTGACCAATCCAGATAACCTGTTCTTTAGAGTATTGATTGAGGGGTAAGCATTGACTAGAACATCAAGATAACTCACCTACTCGTCTACTATGTCCACTTAAATAGGCAGATAAACCTCAGTTTAACTCTGTATTTATAACATGCACTTCAGACAGTGCAGTGCTTCCTCAGTATTACACTGGAATATTAGCCTTAATTTTTGTGCCCAAGCTGTGGAATGGATTTTGAACCTGAAATCTTGTGTTTCTGAGATAGGTGTGCTATCACCTGAGCCACAGCTAAAGCAATTATATGCTTTTTCAGCTGATTCAGCTTCTACCTCTTGATCTCCTGAACGTGTATGGACTAATGAATACTATCAACAATCCCCTTGTCTGCCTACCACTTCCAAATCTCACTCAGCCTGGACTCTGTCTTCACCTATCTGCTCACCTGTCAACACCACCACCTACAACTCACTACAAAATCTCAACCCCATCTTCAGCATAAATACTACTTAATAAATAAATACGGCTGCTATTAGTTCTGAACCACTGGACTTGAAACATTAACTCTGCTTTCTCCCCACAGATGCTGCCAGACTTGCTGAGTTTCTCCAACCATTTCTGTTTTTGCTTTAAATCTCTAGCATCAACAGTTCATTGTTTCATTATAAAAGTATAATCCCCTTATTGAAGAAGGGAAGGAGGTGTAAAAGAGGAAAAATAAGGTGATTAGCTTATGTCTGTAATGGGAAAATGTTAGAACCCTGAGGTAGACTGTCTTGATGAAGCTTTCTGTGGTGAAGAGCTAGAGGTTTTCTTCTCAGTGAGTACTAGAGTGGATTTCTGGGATCCAGGGAGTATAGACCCATGAACAGTAGGTGATCAACAAGAATGGGAGCTGTCACTGAGGTAATTTATGAAGGAGTGGCTCCTGGGTGGGAGTTTCAAGGCAAGAGCAGCAATAATTTTAAGCAGGAGGTAGATAGATTCCCGACAGGCAGGAGAACCAAAGGTTATTGAGGGGCAGATGAGAATGTGCAATTCGAAACATGAAAGATCAACCTCGATTTTAATGTATGGGAGCAGGTTGGCAGGGCTGAATGGCCTACTTCTACTCCAATTTTATATGTTTATATGTTCATCTGAAGTAACAAATTTTACCAAGGAGAAGGATAAGTTTGAAGATGGTTGTTAATCTGAAAGACATGTTTTCTAATGAAAACTTAAGGGTCCACTGAATGTACATTTCTATCAATAGAGGGGAAAAGTAGGGAAAAAACCACAAGTTCTTCTGTATTTATGTTGAGAAACCTGTGGTAAGCTCATTTGTATCATATAGTATGATTAACGGGAAGAGCAGTGCCCACTTGAGTATTGGTTTGCAGTTACACCAGAATGGTTGCATACCTACAATACAAAATTGAAGTATAAGCTCCTTACGATAGTTCTAAAGAAAATTTTGATGCATCTTCACTGCGTGTGTTTGACCTTGAAAAGATTATGTAAAAATGTATGTGAATTATTTGTTAGATGTTTATTACAAGAACTTTCCTATTTCCAAAGCCATTGTAAAGAATCTTAACTGTGACGAATCTTGCCTCCTTGTAAGGGGAGATTTGATGAAATCCATTTCCAGCATTCTGTGAGAATGTAACCTTCATGCTGTAATCAGTTACATTGGTACTACGTGTGGCTGTTTCAAAATGTTGGCAACATTGAATTCTGTCCTGCAATTGAGGAGTGGCTTATTTCTATGATTTCAATAGATCAGTCAGGACTGTTTGGGGATTGGAGGAATTGAGACATTACAGGTAGGGAGAAGGGATTGAGAGGAAGAGAAGCAGCTCCATTTTATGAATGCTGCAGTTAGTTACACTGCAGGAAGACAGCTGAACTACACAGATACAGTTATTTCTTCTATATTGCATGTTTTGTTAATGCAAATTGGCTGTAACAAACTTGATGAATAGTGGATGCTGTTTGGATAACGCAAACTTTCTGTTGTACAGGTAAAGCTATTTTCTATAGCGATTTTCTATGGTACGAGATCACACAAGAATGCAACTATTGCGTTATAGGAGAAATAACTGTACTGTTCAGGGGAATAAGTGTGGAGTAAATAACAGACACAAAAAGTTTTGAAATGTCTTAACTTAGATAGTTTAAGCTTAGAGCGCACATGCGCACCCTCCCCCACCAACTGCCTTTGTTTCCTATTGGTCAGCAGCGCTGAGTTATCCCTTTGTGATTGGATCTCTGGTACAGCATCTTATACTGTTCAAGCTTGCTTCAGCAATTTACTTGCTGTCGCGTATGCAGTTTAACTGTTGATAGTCCTTAACCTGAAGGAAGCACTGCCGCCTCAGCAATTTCAATGTATTTTCAATTAGGCTAACCGTATCACTAAGTGACAAAGAGATGGGCAGGCTTATGGTCCACCCCTGGTCCTTTATGATTTCATGATGTTACCAGACTCTCCATGTAATGATATGGGGACTGCTTTTACTGTCTGAGATCAGTTTAAATCCTTTCCTCTAATGCTCTTCGTGTCTTTTTTGTGTATAGGTGCATCTATAACTACTTCGGAATCTACATCTATGATTATCTGAAGGATCTTAACTAAAACCTACTCCTAGTATTGTAATAGATTGATTAAATAATTCAAGACAGATTCACAAATTA